TATGATTCTATGATTCTATGATTTTATCACAAAGAGTTAAAGGTGTTGTACAGACATGCTTTGTATATTTGGGAAATTTTCACATAGTGCTGTTATCAGTCTAGGTGTGGAGAAAAACTCAGTGCTGCTATATCTGCATGTGAAAATACAAACTCTTACATTTACAAAGCCATGTTTATGTCACCAAGGGCAAATATCTATTCAATAATCATGGTAAAATACTCTAGGCATGGCTTAAAAATATTTTTTACAGCTGTTACATGTAAATCTGCATGTTTTCTAATGTTCCTGTCATTTTACTCTTTGACACTAATTGACATGAATATTCTTAGAGAAACATTCCGTGAACACTCTTGCTGTGCTTTGCCAGTGCACAGTGGCTCCAGGACCACTACACATTTACCTTCCACCAAGGATCTTTGCATAGTTTTGTCTCGTGTACCACTTTCCCTTCTAACCAGTGGCACAGGCTTTCCTTTTCCTTTGGGAATCTTACAATCAAGACAGTTCCTGTGCGAGCTGGCGGCAGCAATTAAAGAATCATAAAGGAAGCTGGGAACAGGCCTGGCTCTCAAACAGCTCCATGACTGGGGATTACAAAGGTGGAATAAGGATTTGGAGTGTTTTCTATTGAGTTGTATATGGCAGCACCTGAAATAGTACAAGACACTGTCTATACCAAGACTAATGAATTTCAGTGATTTCTCAAATATCATAATATGGTCATAATATCATAATGGCCAAATATCACATGGTTGAATATCATATTAAGTCCAGGCTGCATGGGGCTTTGAGCAACCTGGTCTAGTGGGAGGTGTCCCTGCTCATGGCAGGGGGGTTGGAACTATATGATCTTTAAGGTCCCTTCCAACCCAAACCATTCTGTGATTCTGTGGTAACTCCTAATAGTTAAAGATTCACAGAACGTGGACTCCATACATCTTAAAGGACATTTTCAGCCTAATGGGGTATGGTAAGTACAGCAGAGTGCTCTTCTGGAGAATACCCACTCTAAAATGGTGTCATTAGGCAGAAAAATATATTCAGCATAGGGTTATTCTCCCCTCATACCCACAGGCCTGAAAATGAACAGTGTTTTCTGAGACTGGCATCTCAGCACACATGGACTTCCACTCAATCTGTCACAGTTTTCATATCCCTTTAGCTTAATTTTTAAAATCAACATTTCTGTGTCACACAATGTGCCAATTTATAGGAGGGGCATGAACAGACAAAAGAATATCAGTTAAAAAACTCCATGTCCCATGTTGGGCTGACAGAGTTTCTTTGTAATGACTGTATGAAGTCACTGAGACACACTAAACCTACAGCCACTCGATGCTAACCTTAAAATCACTTTTTTCAGAGTGGATTTATGCATGGTGTGATGGACTTCATGATAACATAGAATTGTTATATCCACTATCTCCTAATAAACTGTAGAGCATATTTACAGAGAGTTTTTACTAACAGTATTTTATATATTCCTCCAACCTAAGTAGAAGTAAAAATCCTTTGCACTGTAATCTTGGGAAGCACCTGAGAAACTCAGTTCAAATAGCAAACCTATGAACACAAGAAAGTCTCAAACAATGCAGACAGAGACAAGCCAGATGAAAAATTGAAATTAAGATATTGATCAAAATAGCTATCATCTGAAGACATATGAAAAGCAAGATGTATAAAATAACATCCATACAGATTCACAATAGAGGTGTACCTTCTAGAAAAGTTGATCTGTAGTCAACAGATTCGCTTGAAACCATTTCTGTTGTTGGACTTACACTCCTTGCGCTCACCAGCCTGTCCAGGTGAGGAGTGTGCACTCGGCCATCATAGCGCACTAGGTCACTTCCCAGATCTGAAAGAGAGGGAGAAAGAAAGATTAGAAAACTCTCATGTTTACTGTGTGACAACATTCATTTAGGTATTTATTTAAGTTTAGATGTTCTGTTCTTCTGGGAAGAGGGTCAGGTTGCTGCTGAGGCAGACATATACAGGACCTGAACATGAGCATGTACAGCACAAGAATTGCTTTAACTTGTGTTAAAGCCCCACTCTCGGCGGAAGCCCCTGTGTCCAGCTTCATCATCTGTCTGTGATACTGTGTTAGAGTAAGACCTGGTTATGTACCAGCTCTCCTCCTCCTTCCTCCCTTGTGTAGTGCGGCAGACATGGAGGCCACAGAGGAGGCACACTCTGAGCAAGTTCCTGATCTGGGTGAACAGGACACCAGCACATGGCAGCACTTTGTGACTTGCACAACTTAGGCTACAAGGCAACTGAATGAAGCTAAAGTACTCGTGATTCCACACGTGTCATTTACTCATCCCCCCTTCCAAGGCTGACTGAGGAAGAGAAGTTAGTAAGTTTTCCTAATAGTTCAGAGTTCCTCCAAAATCCTTGTCCTTCAGGCATAGTGTGGCCCTTCACCCAGCTCAGGCAAGAGCCAAGGGCCGAAATGCAACTAAACATTGGACTTGATTGTGAAACCTCTGCTGACAGGTTACAACAGGGCATTGCATGGCAGTTAAACAAAGCATAAACTGATGTCAGTTTTTAAATCTGAGATATAATAATGGAATTATTTGATGAAATTGAGTATGATGGACCTTTAATTTGTTTCTTCTTCCTTCTCCAAAGGAAAAACACCAAAAAGATAAAAATTAAAACTGATGTTGAAACAACTCCAGCAATGAGTCCTGTGAAATTCTGATCTTGCCGGATCAGCACTTTTCCTATAACTGTTGACAAAACTTCTTGCTTCCACTGAAAAAAAAAGAAAAAAAATAGTGTTATGATTTCAAATAAGAAGTAGATTATTAGTATTAAAGTATGAGCTGATATGTCCCATATGTATTAAATATTTATTTTGTGATGCTGTACTGTGATAAGACACCGGGAGTGGAGAAATTATATTGGTGTATGTGAAAGCAGATCTACATTTTTTGATTCATCATGCCTTCAAGAGCTGTGCTACTGACACAGTTCTGTACAGCCTACAACACACACACAGAGCACGCACTGACACACGCACTCTGGATAACAATGTCCCACTGCTACCAGATGTTAATTCAAAATACTAAATTCATACTTTTACTCAAATGGTGCAGGGCAATGCATGGGCCTATGGATATATAGGATGAGATGTATGTTAAAAAACCCTAGCTCAAATGTCTTTAATATGGGTCCTTCTGGCATAAATATGCTGTAACATCAAACTCTCTGTTGACAGCATGCCTGCATTTTAGTTCCCAGGGTCACGTAAGCCTGTCCCTTGCCAGCTTCTTGCTTGTCGACAATTTAAAGAAACAAAACAAAACAAAAAAATAACCCCCCAAATCAACAACCAAACAAACACCAAGCAGCTAACAGGGAAAAACTGTTTTAGGTCACACGGCACTAGCTCAGTCAGTTGGAATGCATTTGGCCATCTTTTCTCTTCTTCCTGTGGAATTCATTCCTCTGGGTACTGTAATGATGGATTTGCCCGTCAAAAGAGCAAATTTTCTTCTTCGCTGGGCAGACTGCAATTTCTGAGGCTCCTTGCCAGTAAACAAGCAGAAACCTTATTTAACCCCTTTATGTTGTGTTCTTTTCTATGTACGAAATACATCACGCATATCTGTTTCTTAGAGGTTAAGGAAGTATCACATAGTAGAACTGGTTGAATGCAGTGCCAGTCCCAGCTGCATATTTAAAAATATGAACAGGTACAGAATGTAGCATATGCACAAGTATTAGATTAAACTAGGCATTTCCAGGTCTGGGAAACTGATATGCCAAAAGGAGAGCTGCATCTGATTTTATAGTTTGCCTGATACATCCAATAAATGTAATTTGTACTTTTCAAAGTAAATTAATGTTAAAATAAATTAATATTTACTGTATTAATAAAGCAATTATTTACTGTATTAATAAAGCAATAAAAGTTATTATTATTTACTTAGGTTGCAGTAGCACATAGGAATACCATTCACAGCCCAGGTTCCTATTGAGATGAATGCCATAAAGACATAGAAAAAATAGATGGTCCCTGCTCCAAAGAGCTTACATAGACTTTGATCCTAGTCACACTTAACATGACTGGCAAAGTTTCCACTGCTTTCAGTGAATCAGACTCCATGATAATTAAATTTCATAGTTTAAAGGTAATCCACTTCTGCTGCAATTTTCCTTTTTTTTATATTTAAAAAAATACAAAGATACTGAAAGATTTCTGTCTTATTATATGAATCAGTAGGACAAAACTGTCTACAATTTAAATTTGCAGTAGCATTCTGAATTACTCTAGTGAGACCACCTTTAGAATGATAGTGGAACTCAAACATTTGTCCTGTCTGCACCTTACAAAAATAATTGAAATGAAATTATAAAATGCAGACAAAAAAAAATTTCAGAAAAGTTCTGATCCTCTTAACTGCAGCAGATTTTTTTTTTTTGCTGAGAAAAGGACTTGTGAGCTCCAAAGTAAACTTACTCCATTACAGCTTCCCGTTATTCCCCATGTTTCCTCTTGTGTTTGGGTTAATAACTATCATTTTATTTCTTAAAATAGTCAATATTATCTGAACTTCCACCCCAAACAAATAGTGATAGAGATATCTCTGTAAACACAGGCTTAGGCTTAAATTTGAAGTTTATAGGTTCAATAGTGACATTGTGAATGATAATAAAAATGGCATTAATATCTCATGCGTGGTGTAGCTGCCTCACCTCTATATTTAGCTCACTGTTGGATTTCAGGAGATCGCTGGGAACCGTACACAGAATTGATTCTGGCTGCAGGAGGAGGTTTTCACAGCTTTTATTTCCAACTTTTAGCACCTCTCCTTTAACAGCTTCTGAATCAATATAATTTCCCTTGGAAAAAAAAAAATCAATTTCATATTACATAACCATCTCACAGATGTTAAGGACAAGTTGTTTTATTACCTTGGAAAATATTTTTAATGGAAAAACAATTGTGAAATAAAAGACTAATGCAAATTTACATTGCCCTGTCAATATGCACGTATCAGGTTTTTTTAATGTAAATGGGAGTTTCACAGACAGGCCAGAGAGGGATGATAAAGTTTACAGATAAAATTTGCTGTCACTAATACTCATACAGCCCATACAGACTTCTAAAAATGTAGATGTCCGAGGGATAAATCCTGTTGGTCCTGTTTAGATTTTTGCATAATTTGCACAAGAAAGAAAGCATTATGTGACCCTGTTGTTTACACAAAATTGGCATTACATTATTCACAAACTAAAGGCATCTCAAACATTTTGTTTTGCAAGTGGTTATGGTAGTAAGAGTAAAGCTTTCAAAAAGAACTAGTTAATTATAATAATAAAAATGCACAAATCTGTTAAAAGTCGCATTCCACAGACCAAAAAGGAACAAACTCTGGTAAAGATAACAGCATGAAAAGTACACTCCCTGCTCAGAAAACCTGATTTCACATCCAAGACTTGGATGAAATGTTATTCCTTCTGGTATTGTGATAGTAGTGTCCGAAGGCCAAGTTCAAGATCTTTTGTGCTCAGGAGTGCATCAGTATTTAAGAAGCTGCCCAACCTTGTGTACAGCCCAGTTTAAGAAGAAAGAACAGGCATATTAAGTGGGATTAAAAGGGGCGAAGGGAGGATGGGGAGTAACATTTGATACTAATACTAATAATATGGGATGGATCTGGGAGTTTTTCACCAGAAGGGGGGAAGGTGTCATGGCCAACACTGCTATAAGGCCTCATATACTGGAAAGAAAACACAAATCCCATTCTGAGGGGCAAAAAAATCTTACTTTGGCATATGTTTTAGATCTGCTGCAGAATCAGACTGAACCCTGGGAAAATTTTAATAAACATATAGGAGAACCAGCTTAATGTCCTATTTTGACTGGCAAAGCCACACCCCAGGTAAATTAAAAAAATTGCTGTCCAAAAAAGTCAATTTTGTCCTCTATCTTCTGTCTCATTGGAGCCATTCTGTTTGTGTTGATTAAGTAAATATTCAATGTGATTGACTGCTTATTGCTTATTAGTATGAAGACTTGCTGCAGATTGTGAGCTATTCATGTTCACATCTTTCCTTTGAATGATGTACCTGAAAAGACTTGAATTTGAGTTTTCCATCTTCAGGATATATTATCCTGGAGAGTGTGGGTGAGTGGCACCAAATCTTGGAATTTTTCCCTCCACCAAAACTGATACTTACCCAAAAGGGGAAAAAAATCATACTGATGTTTTCCTAAAGTTGTCCTTAGCCAGTTATAATGAAGACAGTAACTCTTACTTACTACCATTACCATTATATTACCATTAATATATTATAGTTTCAAATATATTCACTATCTCAATATATTAAGAGTTTCAAAATGCTTTCAGCAGTGGTTTTGCTCTTCTTAGGACCACAGAATTTGCCTATGATTTTAAGAAAAGGAGGAAACTGGCTCCTGTGAGAACTAGGAAACAATATTTCCTATTTTAGCTTGGAGAAGAGAGAGCTCTGGGGAGACCTCATTGCGGCCTTCCAGTACTTGAAGGGAGCCTATAAACAGGAGGAGGAGCGACTGTTTACAGGGGTTGATAGTGACAGGATGAGGGGGAATGGTTTTAAACTAAGAGAGGGGAGATTTAGGTTGGATATTAGGTGGAAATTTATCACGCAGAGGGTGGTGAGGCACTGGAACAGGTTGCCCAGAGAAGCTGTGGATGCCCCATCCCTGGAGGCATTCAAGGCCAGGCTGGATGGGGCCCTGGGTAGCCTGCTCTAGCGGCTGGCAACTCTGCCCACAGCAGGGGCGGTTGAAACTAGATGATCTTTGAGGTCCTTTTCAACCCAGGCCATTCTATGATTCTATGAATTTAAAATGCATATTACTTGCTCCTTGATGAGCAATGCCCTTGCGTGCAAGCTGGAGAAGCTTGTTACTGGACTGAGTAGCTGTTGCAAACCAATCTGATAGAGCAACTACCTCACAACTTTAGAGAGATGGGAATAATTTGTGTGAAAGTCTAAAAGCAGTAGAAGGACCACAAACAAGGTGTGGAAATTTTGAGATTGGTGTCAGAAGAATTTTTGAGGTTCCTAAGCAGAGCAGGTTGAGTTGGGAAGAATGAGGAGTTAGTGCAGCTGCAGAGCTTCCACTTCAGCTTGCTCAGAAATACTGGGGTTTCCATATTGCACTCTCTTGGACCAGACATTGAGAGAAACATAATTTTCTATGCAATGTGAAAGAAGATTGAAAACAGAGTAACCCACAAATAGACAAGAAGAGTTCCTTAAGATTGTATCAGAAAGAATGTGTTGTACTGGCTTAGGAACAGAGTAGGCAATTTAGGAAGTCTTGTCCTACTCTTAGTTTTAGGACAAATGTGCCAGAGTACAGCCAAGGTCTCAAATGTGATGTGTAACATTAAATTACAATTGTGCTACTTATTTATCTAGTGGAAGATAGATAGTACACTGCAGTCACCTAGCAGCCCATTCCCAGGCCTCCTCTGGAAGCACATGCAGAGACCCCACACTGGCTTGGTGCACAAGCACAACCCCAGGCTAGGCAGACTGAGGTAAGCAGCTGTTGCTTTCCTTATTTATTTGGTGGTTTTTTTTTTTTTTTTTTGCAGCTAGGACACACGGGGCTGTCAGCAGGCCACCTTGCAGGTCTGGGTCAGTGGCTTCTGTGGGAGGCAGCAAGCAGACTGTCTTCTTCAGCAGACTCAGGTCTTCAGTTGTGCCCAACAGCAAAACACCAGAATTTCTGCTGCCCTGAGAGCTTCCCATGTTGGCGGGACACGGGAGCACTTCTGAAGTGGTGTCTTCACGGTGTTGAAGCAGAGAAGTGCCTCAAGCCACTCTGTCATGACCCCTCTGACTGGGGCATGGTGGGCACTGAGAGACTTCAAAGAGCCACACACTTGGCAGAGGAAGACAGTGATGATGTGGGACCTTGAATGGCTCAGCAGTGTGGAAGACAAAAGGGCTGGCACTGAAGACAAGAAGGGCTGGCATTCGTGACACACAGTGCCCTGTGTTTTAGATAGAAGACTTAATGTTTTCTTGTGTGTAACATTTTTGTACAAAAACATCTTATGGTCATCAGGGAAAAACCTTTCAATCGGTACCCACTGTCATTTGACGAAAGTCAAATATGTCACACTAGATTAATTTGATTGAAAAACTTGTGAAAAAGCTCCTCCCGCCCCTCTGAAACTAATTAAGAGAAAGATAAAAGAACTTTGGTTTGGTAAAACAGACTGTTCACTGAAGCAAGCTGCCATTTAATTTCATGCTGAGCTTGCTTAATTACTGCACAAAATATGACCATGAGGCATGTAAACTTGTGTGTCTGTATTTTTGAATGCGGGTATGGGGCTAGGGAAAAGTGTCGCCAATGTGGCTTGTGATGATCTTTTGGCTCCCGACTATAATTCCTGGAAGTTGCCTCACTGTTTTGATAGAAGCATCCCACTATAACTAATTCTATTTAGAGGAAGATGTTAAATTGGTGCCTGTTCATGCTTTGTTCTAGGAGACCAGCTTTCACTAATGTTATTCTCCAGTTGGTTGCCAGGAAATAATCAGGGCATTAGGCTTAGGTAGACATCTGGCTTGGGTGCCATGACTACAGGTGACATCAATGCTACAAAATTGTGACATTGGTAAGTTGTCAGTGGGATAGTCTTCAGCCAGCCTTTCTCATCTGAATGGCTTCTTCCCAGCAATAAATAGCACTAGGGACTTCTCCTTAGGGAAGAATAAAAGGTTCAAGAGTAAAAGAAAGAAGAGAGTTAAGAAACACCTAATTTTTAACCTCAGTCTCTGGGAAGATTATGGAGCAAGTCCCCAAGGAAGCTTTTACATGCAGAGAAAGGACAAGATCACGACTGGGAACAGCCAGCACAGGTTCATAAGGGTGGATTTTGCCTGAGCAGCCCGACTGCCTTCTATGAGGAGATGACTGGTTCTGTATATGAAGGGCGAGCACTGGACAACGTTTACCTTGATTTAGCAAGTTTTGCAACACAGTCTCTCCCAGTGTTGAAAACAAATTGGGATAATATGGACTGGATGGACTGGACCATAAGGTGAGTGAAAAACTGGCTGGCCAGCAGCTCAAAGGTTCGAAGTTTAACAAGTGGCATTCCTCAATGGTTGATACTGGGACCAATAATGCCTAAAATCTTTATCAACAACCTGCACAAAGGGGCAGGATGCACTGTCCTTGTGCTTTCAGGTGACATCAAATTTAGGAAAATGATTGAGATACTAGAGGGCAGAGCCACTGTTCAGAGTGACTGTGGCAAGCTGGAGAAGTGGGCCAGCAGGAACCTCATAAATTCAACAAAGATGGATGCAAAGTCCTGCACCTGGCGTGGAATAACCCCATGCACCAGGACAGGCTAGGCACAGCCAGGTAGGAAGACACTCTACAGAAAAGGACTTGTGGTCGTTGTGGAGCATTAGGTGAAATGAGGCAGCAGTGTGCCATTGTAGTGATCAAGGCTCACCGCATACTTTAGCAGCCGTAAAGCCAGTAGATTGAAGGTGATTGTTTTCTTCTGCTCAGCGCTTGTGAGACCACACCTGGAGAATTGTGTCAAATTTTGAATCCCACAGGACAAGAGAGATACTGACAAATTGGATGCAGTACAGCAGAGGGCCACTGATGTAGGAAGGGAGCTGAAGCACAGCATGCACAATGCAAGGCTAGAGGAGCTGGGTTTTTTAAAACTGTAAAATCTCTGTTCTTGGAGAGCTTCAAAACTCATCTAGACAAGGCCATGGACAACCTAACCTAATTTTTGACTTAGCCCTGCTTTGAGCAAGGGCGGTAGACTGCAAAGACCTCCAGAGGTTCTTTCCAATCTAAGTTATTCTATGATTCTTCTCAATTTAGTCTTCTTTCCAACTGGTTGATATGCATGACCTGCAAAATACTGGAAAACACTGCTGTCACTGCGCAGAGGCACTGAGCCGTGCAGCAGCTATATATTCCCAGATCTCTGTTGACCTACACACCAGAACTCTTTCTAGGATTTCTCCATAACTGAACAGGAGAATTGCTGTGCATTGAGGAAGGGGTGAATGTACAGCCACAAGTTCCAAACAGAAACAAACCAAACCAAACCAAAATCAGACTGATTATTCTTTGGACATTTCACAAAAAACTTTGTGGAGACAGATCAATATTAAGAGAGTTTGACTGGAACCCAGCATGGCTGACAGAGGCTCTGAGGTAATCCCTTCTGTTTTCCTGCAGCTCAGGAGCTGGCCCACTGGACTATCTTGGAGTCAAAGACCTGAGGGCTTCAAGATTTCATGGCTGTCATAGAAAAGAGTTTGGGCTTACAGAGCTATGGAACAGTTACAGAAAGAGATGACCCCAGCATTAAGGCTGATTCTCTTCTGTAAAGCATTTTTTATCGATTATATTTTATATAAATTGTAGATATTCTATATAAATTTAATGTACATAATAATACATTTTCATAAACATTCATTATAAATTAGAAATACCTGTATTTATACTGTTCTTATTTGATAATCTAACTCAGAAAAACACTAGATTTCGAGGAAATTGGACTCTTGCAAAATGGATTTAACTTTCACAGAATCACAGAATCACAGAATCACAGAAAAACAGAATCACAGAATGTTAGAGATTGGAAGGGACCTCGAAAGATCATCTAGTCCAATCCCCCTGCCGGAGCAGGACACCTAGATCAGATCACACAGGAACGCATCCAGGCGGGCTTTGAATGTCTCCAGAGAAGGAGACTCCACAACCTCTCTGGGCAGCCTGTTCCAGTGCTCTGTCACCCTCACTGTAAAGAAAGCACTCCATAGCACTCTAATAGAGAGTAGCCTGTGCCTGTGCGTAATTCCTAAGAGAAGTTTGTCAGTGCTGTGTAGGCTATTCTCAGTGCTCTTTTAACAGGCACTCAGCATCAACTTTGCATTTTTCATGGATCCGTAAATATTTAGGCTACAGTGGTAACTGATGCTCATGAGTGACTTCGTGCATAGGCCAGAGTTTCCCTCAGCTCTAGAGAGCCAAAGCTGCTAGGCCACTTTCTAAAGGCAACTCCAGGTCTTTTGTGAGGAAGGACACAAAACCCTGTGACAGTAAGAGCTGGGACTTGTACGCAGACCACACACTTCAGGTTCTGGGCTGATGGCCATGTTTAATCCTGAACTGGTGACGCTGCTCACTGGAATCAGAAGCTGATGCAGCGTGGTCCTCCCATGAGGATAAGGAAAGCCCCTTTCCCACCCCACCTGATGCCAACAACCACCCTGGTATATCTTTGGTTTCAGCTCTGTATCTTTTAAGTTGTGACAGCTGGGGGCTTGGATGAACATAGTATTGAACACACTGCTCTCTGTCGCTCTCACTGCTCTCTGTCTGTGCTTCCTTGGGGCTTTCTTTATTTCATCAAAATGTCTGTTCTACACTACACGGCTGATGTGAGCATGCAAATAATTGAAAAAAATATTTCAACATTTCTTACCTTAATTTCCAGAATGTTTTGGTTGCCTCTTGAGATGAACACTGGCTTTTCAAAATGCTTAAATACAGGATTATTTACATAATCAAAATCAAAGTACAAAGAGTTGACACCGTCAAAAATAAAGAACACTTTGGTTACAAAAGGTGGTTGGAGATTGAAGGCTTTCAGTGAAGGAGTTGTACAGCAGATTATCTCTGAGCTGGAGCGGTGGCTACATGCCTGTAAGAAAGAAAGAAAGAGGTAATTGAGTAAGTATGTGCATAGGAAGTCCCTGATGAACGTAAGTGTTCTTTAACAATACACGTGTATTGAAAAAATAAACACCAGAGGTCTTGTTCTTCTTCAACCAAAGCAAAATCCTGATTAGTGCTACACAGCATTTAGTTAGAGCTGGGAGTAAAGTATAAAAACTTCATGTCAATGGTGTTTGCACTCTTGTTGAGGAAATGTTCGAGTAAGCAACCTTCCTGGCCTGATTGTTCACAGCATGTTTAAAATAAATATTTTGCACATAATTAATGGAAAACTATTTCCAAAGCCAAGGACCATGAGGAGGCTATCCTGATGTACTGAGATGTACTGGGACACAAAGCAGCCATAATTCAGTTTACCCAGCCTATGTCAGAGTGACTGACACATGAATTTATCTTCCTTTTACACCACCAAGGCAATAGCAAGATACCAGAGGGGAAGATAAAAATAGGGCAAATGAATCTGACTGGAACAGTGGAAAACAAAAGTGAAGCACTGTTTTACCCACAGCATAGCTAAGCCACTAGGTTTCCAAAAAGACATTATGGATGCTGTGAGAAAGTGCTTTAAAGTCAAAACCACCATGGGATTCTGCACCATGAAAGCGCAGCGAAGTGTATCTTCTTTCAAAAAATGCATAAGGCCCCAGACATGTGGTATTCGGTGCTTAGGTATGCTGGTGTCATGCAAGTCCCTCCTAGGAGTGTCGACTGTGGGACATGCTTCACGCTGTATCTCCTTGGACCAGTGGGGATGATATGTTTGCCCCTCACTGCTGTGCAGGAGCTGCCTGACAACAGGCTTAAAGCCACGCTTGCCCTTCACTCTGCTGTTATTTCTTGTGAGGGCCTGCTCTAGAGGTGCTTCCCAAGGGAAAGCTGATAGTGCACCCCACAATCCAGAAGACCTGCCAGGGCATGTTTTGTGCTGTGGGGGTGCGATCCAGTGTGAAATATCTGTCCAGAGTGCTTCCCTCTGTCCCACACCACCTTGACACAGACTCGTGGGACAGACAAGACAGACCCAGATCCTTCCTAAAAGGATTGCTGTGTTGCAAGCAAGGGCAGCAGGGGTTTGCAGGCAGCCTGATCTGAAGCTGAGTTTAGGCAGTTTGCAGGGATAACATGAATCCTTGCAGACAGGATTCATCTAGCCTGCATCCAGATACCTGCATTGGAGTTAGCTGTCTAAACTGCCCGTGCAGTGAACAGAGGGAAACAGGTCACCTAGAGGGGGATTCATCTGATCCGTCTGAGACAACAGCTTTAATTAGATTAACAGTGCTTTAGAAGGGTCGACTTCTCTTTCTTGACTCTGAAGGTTTCTACATGACTAATTTGATTATAATGTCAACAGTACATCCACAAGCATCGATGGGAGGCACTGTGGGTGCTGGGCAGCATCACACAAACCACAGAGTCGCTTGTTTGTGATTGTGTCGTGTATTCCCTCCTCTGTGCCTCCCTTTCATGCTGCCTACTGTAGATATGGGTGAAGGATTTCTGGCACAAACAGAGTCGCTTCAGCTCCACAGAAGTATTTTTCTTCCAGCAGTATAAACCTTCTGTAAGTAGTTCCCTGTACACTGACAACAGAGATTACACTTTTTTTTTAATATAAATAGAGTGGCTTACATGTGCCTCGATAAGAATGGGGTTTAGCTCCTAGTCATACATTTGAGCATCTAGAGAAGACCAAAAAAACTCAATTTTTCTGTTTTTCAAATTAAATTGATTCTCATTATAAAATGCTGCCTGAAGGAGCTGCAAAATTAGTTTACATTTGTCTCTAATATGTTAAATTAATGCAATGTAGTTTTGCTGTTTCAAATCAGTGACATAACTGTTCAAGCTATATCAGTTATATACTCACATTAGTTTAAAAAGTGGGATTAAATTAGCTATCCACAAATCAGCACTTTTTCTTATCGCCACAGCAATTCATGTTTCTGTGCATAATATTGTGAAATACTGAATCTGCCCAGGGAATAATTTTCAAGGCTCTGAAACTGAGTACTAGTTTTAGAGCTCTGCTACAAGGGTTACGTGTCTGTGAGCTGTGAGTCTGGTACTCAGTTAAATAACTTAGTGCAGCTCTCAGTGATGCTAATGGGACTTGCACCCATGTAACTAACAGCCCATTTAGATTCCTAGCACAAATTTGGAAATATTTGTGCATCCCCCATGGCAAGAAGGTAATCTGTGGGACACAAGACAGAATTTCACTCCATTTGCTTACAGTATTAGACTGTTCTTCCTCTTTTGAATACCTTGTTACACACCATTGACCATAACTCAGGCTTTGTTATTTCACATGGATCTATAAATTAACTTGAATCAGTATGGTAATAATAAGATGCATCATTAGTATAATGGATGATCAAGCCATACTTTTTCCATGATACATGAATATTCTTAAAGATGTCTATCATATTGTGTCGATTCTAAAAAGAGATTACTAAAATATATAATTATAAAACCAAATATGTCCCAGGTAATCATTATATTTATTTGATTAATGTAAATTCATTACACTTTTTATCTACTGCAGAGTAGTGTTGTCCCTTAAATGAATAGCAGTGGTATTCGTAACTTTGTTTGTGGCTATCTATTAGAATCAGATACTTTACTTTATCAGGCTGGTCTCTGAAGAGGAAGCTTTCAGAAAATAATAAAAATCTAATAATACTCTTTGGAGGGGATGCAATGTGACTGATTGGTAAGGTCATGAAAAATCTTATTTGCAATGCCCTTATTGGTACATGATTTGACATGACATTTTTACCTTGAAATTGGTTTTAGCAATTGAAGAATATGATGGTTTAGTTTTCAAGAAATATTGGATTGAGGATCTATAAGAAAAAAACCCTAATTCAATCTATTGCCTTCTCAATTAAGATACTGCGTATCACCCAGCACCTTTAACTTTTATTTAATTAGGCTTTAAAGTACCTTCACTTTAAAAGCTAAGCCTACATTCTTCTTGTGACTATAATCTACATCTGAAGATAATAAAGAAGAAAAGATGTAAAAATTATGGAGCATTTCACAAGCATAAGTAAATACTATACCCCAAAGGGAATGATAATCCATTGCACAATGCATATGACTCATCACTTAAAAGTATGTATTCTTGTTTCATTTGTAAAATATGACCCTTGAGGCAATTAATTCAAACCTGACCTACAGCATCTGAACTTCGGTGTCCAATTCGATTCTTTTTCATCTGGTAGAACAACAGGAAAAGTATGAGGGAGGATCTCTGAGCTCCAAAGGTCTCCCAGCAGCTGACCCAGATAAGAGAGGGGCAGCTGGATGTGTATTTCAGGATCTGTAGTAGTCAGAAAGGAGAAAATGGCCAATTTGTCCTTTCATAAAAAGTAAACTTTTGGAGTTCCAGTGAGGAATGGAAGGTGAATGAGGTTAAAGACAGACCAGGAGACTCTCCAGCCATCTTTGCCAAAGGATGATTTCTCAATAGAAAGAGATGAGAATTCAGGTTGACTTGAGCAAAGCCCATTCAGAAGGCTTTTCTGTGTAGGTGAGAAACTGAGCAGGGACACTCAAGCAGGGCATCTTGAAGATTTTTCAGAGAACTCATCGACTTTTACTGCCATTTCAGGTAGTGCAATGAATGGCCCTAATGGACTGGGAGCATTTTTCTTCTAGTTGTCTTCTTGTGTGAAGGCATGGAAGATGATACTTCCAGTCTCTCAGATCATTGGACCAGAAGGCAGAGTAAAACCTCTCTTGCTTCTGGGTCTGAGAGCCAGCCCTTCGCACAACATGACCAATAGTGACTGGGAGTCTAAATTCCTCCCGGGGCTTGGGATGGTCAATGTACCTACTAGTACCACATCTCTGGCAGTAGGTGATTTCACAGCGTGGGCTTTTCTCTGGCAGCCCCT